TTTTAATAAGAATGTTTATAATATAATTTAGGGATGCACGATATTGGATTTTTGGCCAACATCCAATATGCCGATACGTTAAAACTTATTTGTGTGATGCAGATATTTTATATACTTTCCTTTATCAGAACATAGCCCTCTTATTTAGGCTTATTTGCTACAAAAATTGTGTAGGAGCTGGTGACATATATTCAGTAACAGCCATATGATATGCATAGCACTTTAACTTATATTAAATGAAAAGGGTTGAATGTTATTTATTAGCATTAGTCACCTGCGATGCTGTCTCACTTGTGGAGGCTTGTTCCAGGTTCCTATAGCTGCAGTGTGGGATCCTCTGCACTCCTGTGCATGAAGGACAGCCTTTTTAAGTTCAAAGTTTTTGTCTATCCATTGTGCCGTAAGACTAATCATGCTAACGGGGCTAACACGACGTCCAAATGTCTGTGGTAAAACTCACCCATCAAGTCGTGCTATCGGCTATTAGCTTCTCAATGACGTCGGAAATGACGGCTTGTAGCTCAGGTAAGGCTACATAGGAAAAGTATCTCTGATTGGGGACGATGTAGCGAGGCTCAACATGGTCCAAAAATATTCGGAATCCGACATCCTCACCCACGAAAGCAAAAACTTCCACACTGCCGACATTTTGAATTTTCCTCTCTGCCGTGAGATCAGGTAGATGTGTGACGTCATCACGCTGCTGCTGCAGGCATCCTTGTCACTGGGTTGTCATAGAAAAACAGCGCCTTTTATATCGGTGAGTTATTTTGATGGAATGGCCGATGTTCGATATTTAACTTTAACACTAATATCGGTCGATACCATGCCGATAATATCGTGCATCCCTAATACAGTTGGTTCAGGCTGTCCTCTTGGTTGTTACAGTACTGTGTGGACGCCTTTAGTCACCCCTCATTTCTTTATAGTTTATGATTTATTACTTTCTTGTAATGTTTAAAGTGGTCTTAATTAAGAATTCTTCAGGTTTTCTGAAAATCTTAAAAATATCTCATATCTTGGACCTTAGCTGCTTTTCATTCTTTTTTCTATCCAGGACCTTACCTTTTCAACAGGGATGTTTTGTTTGTTTAATCATTTATCTCTGAGCTTTGGATCAATTGGACTTAAAAAGGTTCTTAAAATTAATAAATCAGTCAGTGTTTTGTTGACACAAAACAGACAGATTAGCAAAAAGCTACATTTCAATTAAATCTTTAGGTAATTTGTTACAAGCAGCTTGTTCCAAAGACACTATTTGAGTTTGAGTTTAATTTTATTGAATGTAGTATAATAAAAGAATAAACAAAGTTACATAAAAAAGAAAATAAATTTAAAACAAAAGCAAGCAGAGAAAAAAAACAAAACAAGAGTAGTAAAGTATATTTACATGTTCAAAGGAGTGGGTAGAAATATAAACTTATTGTTACACCCCTCTTACATCTATAGCGTCATCCAATAATTTAATATTCATGGTAACTTGGTTATAACATTCTCATATTTGACCTGAAAATTAATGAAAAAGCAACCAAAAATTTTGAAAAAAGCTTTTTTTTAAAGTCAGAACTATTGAGCCCTTGTAGCCCTCCTGCTGTCCTTGGGCCAAAATCTCAAGGGCAGCAGGAGGGTTAAAAATCAGTCTGCAATGAATAAAAGTATAAAAGTATTGTCACTGTTAGTGAATGAGTTTCATCAGCAGGACTCTACAATGAGTCATTAAACTGCTGTGCTTTTAATATACATTCATAAAACTAGACAGAGAATATGATTCAGAATCTACTAAACCTTCACATCACAATGCATTACCCTTTAACAAAACAAGTGGAAAAAGCTTAACAATATCAAAATCTTTGAAATAGCATAGATATGTAGATTTAACAAATCACAGTAAAGCATGCTGCTCCTTGTGATGGAGACTGAAAAGTTATTGCAGCTACTTGTCTATTTATTTAAAAATTGTATGGTTTTTCCATTTGGTTTGAATACCAGTTTCCATAAATACACACTGGCACATTAAAATGCTGTTATAGTTTGTGTCAGGTGACACAAAGACAAAATGAGCAGCTTATTGTGAAGAAGAAAGAGGCCTAAAACATTATTAAAAATAATATTTGCCTTGCCTGTCTCTTCTTTTCCTCCTCCTCTTCTCTGCATCTGATCCTTGAGGTTATTTTTGGCCTTAGTTGATTTAAAATTTATTTTTATGTCATTCGACATTAAATATTCACAGCAACTTTTTGTTTGGGTTCTGTTCTGATACTTGAACTGACAGCGTGAGGAAGAATAAAGTATTCAAGTGGAACATGGTTTATTGTTTGACACATTTGGCCTCTACTTTCTTGTTTGCTGTGTTTTTACAAGATAATGGCAAATGTGAAATAAAATCAATCAGGTTGTTTTACTTTGAAAATAAACTTTTCACAAACATGATATGCTGTGTTTACCTAAACTGTGTAGGTATTTCTTTTTATGTATCGTCTCACAATCTGTTCATATTCATACTACTGTTTACATTCACACTACTGTTAACATTTGCACTATTGTTTACATTCACACTACTGTTTACATTTGCACTACTGTTTACATTC